CCATATCAAGAATATGAAAGAGACCAGGAGGCCTGAACTATACAGAAGTGCACTTTTCCACGGTAAACAGCAGTAGGACGTACTCCTCACCGTATCAAGAATATGAAAGAGACCAGGAGGCCTGAACTATACAGAAGTGTACTTTTCCACATAGAAGGTCAGCAGGCTAGGGCAGAATTAGTGACTGCTCAGCATCCAGGACAGCCTTCTCTGGTTCACTCGTGTGTGCTCGGGCGTGACCTCCGTGCCCTGACCGTCGCAGGCTGTCATGGATGAGTCACAGCGTGGAGGAGAGGGAGCAGCAGGACTGCCGGAGAAGCTCAGTCCGCAGCAGGGCAGCTTTCTCTTCGCAGGTTTCCTGGAGTTCAACATAATACTGGTGCTTACATCTCAGGCCCACATATTGATCATGTCATCATGCCTGGCTTCCAGCAGCTTGGAAATGTCTTTAAGCTGGGCCTGTGGCTGCCCCTGAATATACTCAGAAGAGAGGGAGAGTGGGCGGTGGGTGGAAACTGATGTGTGCGGCCTGTGCTGCTGGGAGTCGGTCCAATAGGACTGTCTGTGACGATGGAAATGTTCCGAGTGTTTGCCGTCCAGTATGGCAGCCATTAGCCACAGAGGGCTGTGGAGAACTTGATATATAGTCAGTCTGAGAAACTGAATTCCTCTAATAACAAAGATTCTTGTCCATGAATGAGATCTCTTGTCTACTATTTGCAAGAATTTCTGCGTATTTTCTAAAAAGAAGTCCATTGCTTTAGTCCTATTCTGAAAGGCGTTTGGTGTTAAGACACAAGAGAACAGGTTCCCTGCTGACATTTTCAGAGGCCTGTGCCCTTCGGTCTTCAAGTGAGGCTGGGCTTGAAGGAGGCTTTGTGGAACGGTGAGAACAGTGTGACTAAGGCACAGAAGGCTAAGGGATGCTCTGCAGTACTTTTGTAGGGTTGGAGGCCAGCTGTGAGAGAAGGAACCATTGTATTAGAGAATGGGAACATGCCTTAGGATACAGAAATGGCAAATCCGTGAGACAGTTTGAAGTGAGAATACTAGAAGCATTCTCACCAAACAAGGTGTGTCTTGGTGCCTGCTGTATCGCAGGCTCCGTGAGATGCTGGAGTCAGCACTGAACAAACAGCTTCCTGTGCTTGTGGAAATGCGTTTCATTGGAGGAAGGGATTTTTCTGCTGACTCTGGCTATTAATAGTAAGAATCAAAAAAAGAAATGAGATAAATTGTTGGGAACAGGCCCCCAAATCTGGCCATAAACTGGCCCCCAAACTGGCCATAAACAAAATCTCTGCAGCGCTGTGACGGGCTCGTGATGGCCATGACGCCCACACTGGAAGGTTGTGGGTTTTCCGGAATGAGGGCAAGGAACACCTGGCCTACCCAGGGCGGAAAACCGCTTAAGTGTTTCTTAAACCACAAACAGTAGCATGAGCAATGTGTGCCTTAAGGACGTGTTCCTGCTGCAGATAACTAGCCAGACCCATCCCTTTGTTTCCCGTAAGGAATACTTTTAGTAAATCTTATGACTGGCTTGCTGTCAGTAAATATGTGGGTAAACCTCTGTTCGAGGCTCTCAGCTCTGAAGGCTGTGAGACCCCCGATTTCCCACCCCATGCGCTATATTTCTGTGTGTGTGTCTTTAATTCCTCTAGCGCTGCTGGGTTAGGGTCTCCACAACCGAGTTGGTCTCAGCAGTAAATATTGAAAAGGAATAGATAAAATTGCTATCATTTACAGACATAATTTCCAAAAAATTCCCAGAGAATAAACTGAAAAACTAACAGAAACAAAACAAGAATGCAGTAAGGTGTCTGGATAAGAGATTTGTATCTAAAAATCAGTAGCTTTGCGATGTGCCAGCAGTAATCTGCTCAGACATCAGTAAATATCTCATTCACATTTTAAACAAAAAATTAAAAATGCCTTGAAATAATGTAACCAGAAATACAAGAAAGGATATGAAAACGTGGCTGCTAAAGGACATGAAAGAATGTAATACTAGATTCTGAGATGCAACTTTTTTCATTTGTTCTTCCTGAAAAACCATTAGGTTGATGTGCATTGCAGTGTCATGATTATGTATGAGTCTAAGGAAAATCAGATGAAATGTCCAAATTAAACCATGAAGGTGCATTGGTAGAGGAGGAAACAATTAGGGTCAGTGGAGCAAAGCAGAGTTAGAGGGAGAAGCAAGGAGGAGGAGGGATCACGGAGGTGGTATCTGTCTGTCCCACAGGAAGCAAAAGCTGACGCCCGGTTGCCAGCACACCTACAGTAAACTTCAGGTCCACTGCATGGCACGTTTCTCGCCACAGTAAAACTATGAAGGAAGTCAGTGTACAAGAAGCTTCCAGAAAATAGGCAGAAGACAGTAGCCAGATGGGCCAAGGGCCC